CCCTTTGAGTGCCCAAGGCCAGGCTGGACATTGGGGCTGGGAGCAGCCTGGGACAGTGGGAGGTGTCCCTGCCATGGCAGGGGTGGCACTGGATGGGATTTGAGGTCCTTCTAATCCAAACCAGTCTGATTCCACGCTTCTTCATTTGCATCCAAGCCGAGTTTTCTTTAGTGTCCTTCTCCACAYGTCTTTGGCGAGCACTGGTGAAGAGGGAGGATGTGTCCAAGCCCAGSTGTTCTGGAGCTGAGCACGGGTGGCACTGGGGGCAGGAGAGGATCAGCTTGGGTGGGGCTGGCAGGGATTGCTCCAACAGGCAGGGAGCAGCCCTGGTGGGGGAAGCGGGGCAGGAGAACAGAGCTGTGCTGGCTGAGGGAGGGTGGAACATAAAACACCTGAACACGTCAGCCCCACTGCTCTGCAGAGGGAACCGAAGGGATTGTGACTCAGGGATGTGCAGCCACCTGCCAGGATCTGCTCCCTCGGAAGAGGATGTTATGATAATCCATCCGGGAGGGGAAGCGGGGCCAGCACTCTCCGTGTTTAATTTGAAGAGTAAATTTACACTGGATGTTTTCAGGGAGTGATGGGGAGATGCTGCTTGGGTGTCTCCAGGGTGTTTGGGGAGGGGTCCCATCCCTCCCTCTGCAGGGAAAGCCCATCCATTGGGGGCAGGGGAGYAGCATCACTGTGCCCTGTGTGTCCATCTGGTGTGGGGCAGCCCTCCAGGCAGCCCTCTGCCTTTCCAGTTCAGTTTTCCACCTCCCAGCTCCTCTCCCGTGTCCCCCCAGCTGTGCCAGTGTGACAGATGAGGGAATGGCTTGGCTTGGGAGGGACCTTAAAGCCCACCCCGTGCCACCCCTGCCATGGCAGGGACACCTCCCACKGTCCCAGGCTGCTCCCAGCYCCAATGTCCAGCCTGGCCTTGGGCACTCARAGGGATCCAGGGGCAGCCACAGCTTCTCTGGGCACCCTGTGCCAGGGCCTGCCCACCCTCAGTACAGATATTCCTTCCCTGTTTGCTGGGGTGAATCTCCCCTCATTTTGTTCAAAACCAGCAGATAGTGAATGTTGAGTCCCAGCTCAGGAGACTGAGCCGCTCTTTTGTTTGTGGCCTTCCCAGCACACTCTGAGTTGAGGATTTGAGAAATAGTTATGGTAAAACAATTCTTGACTCATCTTCTTGGGCTTTGTTCAGCACTTCAGCCCCCACTTAATTACTTTCATCCTCTCACATGCATCAACACCTTTCTTTGAGTTAACTGAAAAAGGGAGTTTCCACTTTGAGTTGTGGTTCTGATGCAAAGTTTGGCAACTTGACAGTTGGCCACTGGAGCTGCCCCAGCTCTGTGATCTCAGCCGTGTTTTTTCAAGTAATTATTTTGTTCCTAGTTACCTGTGCTGGTGTGTGAGATCACAGCTGTTCTGGAGGGGTTCCTATGTGGAGTCCCTCCTGTACCACTTATTGCCAGGCGAATTGGAACGGGTGGATTTGGAATTCCATCTTCTTGTTTGCTCTCCAAATTTAATAAATGTTGTCAGGCTTCTGGTTTTCCCCTTAAGCATCATCACAGCTCAAGTTTGCCCTTGACGAATCCCGTGCCACAATTCCTTGTAAAACTGCTCTGGGTTCTCCTGTCCCACTCTGGTGCAGGCAAAGCATTTCTGAGTTCATTATTGTGTTCCTTGAATCCAGCAGTGTCTCTGTCTCTTGCAGTGACTCGGCACAACCACCTCAAGGACTTCATGCTGGTGGTGTCCATCGTCATCGGGGTGGGCGGCTGCTGGTTCGCCTACATCCAGAACCGCTACTCCAAGGAGCACATGAAGAAGATGATGAAGGACCTGGAGGGTCTCCACAGGGCTGAGCAGTCTCTCCATGACCTTCAGGAACGGTAGGTTTGCGTGGCCCACCCGGCTGGGACACTCAGTTCTTCCTGCTCTCTCCTTGTTCCTTTAGAACAGGAAATTCTCTTTTTTAGCCCCGTGCTGAGTGAGCTGGCCAAGCTGCCAGCAGCCTCTGGAGCTCGGCTGGGGCCTGGCTCCTGCAGGGATCCCTGGACYGGGCTGTGTGTGAAGATCTGTGTGCTCACAGGGCTGTTCTTCCACTGTCACAGAGCCAGGCAATGCTTTGGGTTCAAAGGGATCTGAAAGCTCATCCAGTCCTTGCCGCTGCCATGCAATCCAGCTTACGTGGAATTTGTCATCTKTGGTTGTTTTGCCTTGATTTTTGATGGGGAAGAGCATGTTGGAGTAGTGGGAGCCGTCAGAGGATTTACACAGCCCCTCTTGAATTCTTGGAGCTATGTGGGGTAGCAATTCTGGATCCAGAAGAGTTGCTTGGAAAGTGAAAAAAGTACATCATTTTGAAGTATTAAATAGAAATACCTGGGCTTTCAACATGTGGACCAAATCCTTCAGCCTCAGGAATGGGACCTCTACTCCCAGGAATTATTKCTGTGGTTCCAGGAAAGTTACTGATGGGACAGTGTGCTCAGAGACTTCCTGGACACAGRAATATTCTGGGACAGGGAAGAGCCTTCAGCCCTGCTGATGACAAACCCACGGGGTGTTCTGGTAGTGGAATATTTTAAGGGTAGATTTAGCAAATAGCAGAGCAGGATAGTCTGGGGCTGGAATGGTTTTCTGTGAGGGTTCAGTGGAACTTGGGAGGATAAACTGTGACTGGGCTGTCCTGTGAGCTGATGGCTGCATTCCCAGTGCCTTCTCTGAACACAGAGCTCGATCCCAGGTGCTCGTCCTGGCTCGTCGCGGGGGTCCAAGGAGTGCCCTGGGCATCCTGAGGAATCCCAGCTTTTGGGACTCTCTGCGATGTATCCCCAGCCCCATTTTTTGCCTCCATGCTCATCTYGGCCTTCAGGGACTCTTCCTGCCCTTGGTGCTGCTGGAAGCTCCTGTTCCTCCTGTGGGATGGGACCAGTGAGGAGAGCAGGGGACCTCCTGTGTGATGGAGCCACGCTGGGCACATTCCCTGGCACAAAGTCCATTCCCCTCTGCCACTCCCCTCCAGCCCACAGCTACTTCCTCACAGCCTCCTGGAGTTTCATGTTACAGCTTGCAAACACTCACACAGAAAGTTGGATTTATTTGGTGTGCATGTGGAAGGAGGCAGGAAGGCTTCTGTGCATCCATCCATCCCTGGGGCAGCAGTGTCCGGGGCTGGCACCTCCGAGCCCCAGACATGGGCAACGTGCCTGTGGGGAAGGACCCTGGCTCTGCTGCCGAGGGCAGAGCCTCAGAACCAGTGGGTGTTCCTGGAAGTTGGACTAATGCTCTAAAGCCCCTTGGGAAGGAACACAAAACTGCTCGTGCTTGGTGCAGCTCGAGCCTTMAGCTGGAGCAGCTCGGGAGTGCTTGTCCTCCATGGAGGGCACTGAACAGGGCTCAAGCACTGCGAGGGGAACTGGAGAGCTGGAGAGGTGTCCTGGGGGAAATACTGCTCCTCTTCCTCACCCTGCCCCAGCAGGGTTCAGCTGTGCTCCTCACTCGCTGTAGGAACAGCAAAAACTCCGGAAAGCCCCAGTGCTCCTGGACTTGTGGAGAAATTGTGCTCAAGTTCCGCTCAGGGAATTCTTTTGCAGATCTTGAAGGACCCTGCTGTGCTGGCTGGGTGAAGCTCAGTGCTGAACAGACCTCTGGGAGGCACAGGCTGCCCCTGCACTGCCACTGCTGCTGGAATTTGCTGAGCAGTTCTGACACRCTCCTGAGGAGTTGGCAATATTCATACAAAACCTTGGGTTTTATTCATCTTCAGAGCACTTGTGAGTGCATCCTTCAGCAGTGACACCTAGCAGTCCCTTAAGTGACCCATCAGGATCATCGAGTCTTGGCACATCCTGGTGATGCCTGAAGGTGTGGGAAGGCTGTGCTGGAGCTGTAGGGATTGAATGGGAGAGCTGATTGTGAGGAAGCTTCTGCGAGCCCCCAGGGTGGCCCTGGATCCCTTTGAGTGCCCAAGGCCAGGCTGGACATTGGGTCTGGGAGCAGCCTGAGACAGTGGGAGGTGTCCCTGCCATGGCTGGGGTTGGTCTCACCTGCCGTTCCCGGTGCTGGGGGTGCTCTCTGAGACCTGCATGGGTCGGGGACTCGGCCGCTGCCCCGAGCCGGGCGCAGCCCCCGGCCCTGTGGAACCGCGGGAGCTTCTCGTGGTGCCGCTTGTCCGGCTTGTCCAGGTGCCCCCGGATGGTCCCGTCCTTCCGCGGTGCCCCCGCTCCGCTCGGTTAAAAACAACCATAATCACCCCACAGCCATGTCCCCCAGTGCCACATCCACCCCTGTGGCCAGGAGGGAGGGAGGCACAGTGGGAATGTCACTTGTGGGAGTGGGCACTGAGTGTGGGGCACGGCAGGACCGTGGGGCTGTCCCAGCAGGGTGTGTGGGGTGTACCAGCAGGATGTGTGGGGTGTCCTGGTGACTGTGGGGCTGTCCCAGCAGGGTGTGTGGGGTGTCCCAGCAGGGTGTATGGGGTGTCCTGGAGCACAGGGCTGTCCCAGCCCATGCAGCAGGGCTCATCTCAGGTGATGTCACACACATTCCCAGTTCTCCTGCAGCAGCTCTTTGTCACTGTCACCTTCACCTCGGGACAGCTCCATGTCTCAGTTGAACTCCCCTTGGGACAGCTTTGGGTGGATGGAGTCTCCCTTGGGACAGATGATACTTGGATACTGTCTGGGAATCACTGCCCGTCTGCTACCCTGCCAACCTTCCAGGCCTTGCTGGGAGCCTCAGTGCAGGTCAGCTCCTCATGTGAGATCCCATGGAGATCCAGGGTTTCATTGTTGCCCCCATTTCCTAGCTGTTGCCATATAYTCCTACTGATTTAATTCTGTCATGGGGAAAAATAGGAACATTCAGGCAAGATTGAGACAGGTCTGAATTTGCAGGATTTTGCAGGGGGAACATGGAGCCATCCTGGCTGGGTCGTCTGATGTGCTGTGGCAGATGTTCCCCTTCTTTGTTTTATCGAAGTCTCCACTTCGGTGAAAACACCAAAAATTCAGCTTAATTTGAGGCTCATTACAGGATATCCGGATGTGCTTTGGAAATGAAGAAAATGCATCCTGAGTATTTGATAAATGAATAAAGCTGAGACTGAGCAGTKGACAGTTTCTTTTTCTCCAGCCCTGATGAACTTTGTCCCTGAGTGCCCACGGACAGCCAGRAGCAGGGTGGGCTCTGTCAGGGTGTCCGCAGAGCTGGCCCGGCACTGGCTGCGCTCTCTGTGCTCGCAGGCTGCAGAAGGCGCAGGAGGAGCATCGCTCCGTGGAGGTGGAGAAGGTGCACCTGGAGAAGAAGCTGCAGGATGAGATCAGCATTGCCAAGCAGGAGGCACACAGGCTGCGGGAGCTGCGCGAGGGCACSGAGAATGAGCTCAGCCGGCAGAAATACGCGGAGCAGGAGCTGGAGCAGGTACGGCTCAMCTGGGTGGGTGCAATTCCAGACACATGGCAGTGAGGGCAGCGCTGCTTCATCCTCTGGG